AAGGCGTCTTTCAGCGGCCTCAAACGTTTTACGATTTTTACGATTGGTATTCTTCGGTTAGGAAATTTTTCACGATATCTTAGAACAGCAGCAGCACCGTTTCTATGTACCTCGCCATAAGTTAAAAGCATGTCTGTTTGTTCGGCAAAAGTGAATGAATTTATGATGTCTGCCATGATAATCGTAAATTGAACTGTGCCACAGTTCACCCACACTAAAACACACAGACAAACAGATGAACAACTAGTGTCATTGCTTATCGTTCATTTGTTTATCAGGTGTTTAAAACCTGTTATTTAGTATTAAACACGTTAAACCTTATACAGTCAGTCTTAATGTAGTAAATACATATTTATTTTGTGTTAGTGAACACATACCTAAAATAGTGCTGTACAATTACGAAACACCCTATATATTGCATTTCCGGAAATGGTCTGATTCTTCACTCAAGTCATGGGTGTTTAAAGCCATATCATCCTTGCTATAACTCCATTAGCTTTAATAAAGGTGGAGTAGTTAAGACAGAAGCTCTGGGATCTCCTCGAGCCTCGCTTCGCTCTTCACAAGTGGAGATACATAACTGGTTCGGAGTTCCCCTAGGTGATTGTAAATAAAGTATACCTGTGTTTAGGATGTTTATTTTACTTTTTAATTACATTTCATTTTTTTTAATTGATGTTGTGTATTACTTTTTTTTGTCTTTTATATATTATATTGCTATTACTTAATTAATTCACCATTTTTTTTTTTAAATATGGTGCGAATGAGCTCTATTATAATTTTCATTAATTGAAAGAGAATGTAATATACTTCAATAACAACGATTTTAAAATATGAATGAACCATTGTAGTAGATCATAGAAAAAATAGATTATTCCTCTTTCTCATTATGCATGCATTTACTTACTTCCGTTTTGTATTTCCATCTGTTTACATCGAGATTTACTATGTGTAGTATTCACACGGGCCAACTATTTTTCATAAAGTGGGTTACAGATCCATTTACGAAAAATTAAAGAAGGATAAAAGGTATTGCAGACAATACAATCACCTTTATTGACGATGTAATACGGACATTTTTGGAGGTGGGCGCCCTCCCCTCCCTGACAGCCTTTGTCTGAGCCCCCTCCCCACCCTCACTAAGGGAAGAATATCCTCCCGCCCTATTGTCATGGTAACTCCGGAAAAGTCCGTTTGAGAGAAAATTTTATCAGAGAGGCATTGTGCGAGGAGCCCGACCATTCCGCTTTAATACCCCGGCGGGTGAAAAAGGAACAAAGATGGTCCTCCTGTGCCGAGGATTAGTGAGGGCCTGCAAGGAGTGCGATACCGAATCCCTCCGACATTGCCCTGTGTCCCTCCTCTTCCTGGATAACAAGGTGTGGAAATACCGGGAAATGGTTTACTTATTGGTCTTGGTTTTCAATGCTGACCCTTTGCCTTTCATTTGTACATGAATTGACCAAAGCTTTGAAACAACCAAAAAATTTATCCGGATTAAAAAAACAGGAAAAATAGAAACAGAAGCCAAAATAACTTTTTCTAATTCTGTACTTTTATATATATATATATATATATATATATATATATATTTAAACATATTCATTGAGAGATATTACAATCTGTCACAATTAAGGACATTTATAATAGTGTTCAAATTCACAGTCCCACTCCATCAACCATCAACTAAATTAAACGAAACAAAAATAAACTAAGCTAATGAAAATAACTACCCAAGTACATACATGCGAGAGACCTTTAGTGAAAAGTATATATGGACTTTTCACTAAAGGTCTCTCGGCCACTGCCGCTTCAACGTTCGAGGAGGATTGTATGGATGAGTGATGCTTGATAGGGGTTGAGCAAGGGGATTTGGATGATAGGTAAGGTTCTGATGAAAGTTTAAGGATTTTTCTGGGATAAGACCTAGGACAAATGGGATATTAAGGTCATGCTGTAGGGTTTTGTTGGTTACATAAAATGGAGCATCAGCTATTGTTCGAAGGACTTTAGATTGATAGGTATAAATGCATTTGATGTCAGGAAATTTTGTTGTCTCCCACAGTTCAAATTCGTATGTCCACATTGATTGTCTGGTAATAAAATGTGTTTTTAAAAGATGGAGTGTGAGAGCGCGACTTCTTAATAATTGATATTTACTGTAATCCAATTAGGTGAAATGATTGGTGTTTCAATGTTGAAGACTTCTTCTTTTTTTTTTTTTTTTAAATTTAGATATAATTCGATTTTAAACTGCCCAACCCGATTTTCTAATTCTATTTGTTCAGTTTCAACAATTCAGGAAATCGATCATGGAACAAATTCTTCAAACGAAAATCACGAAAACAGTCAGCTTCATTCAAATATTTTTCTCTAATATTTTCATCGATGTTTACAGCAACCGTTCTAGAACGTTTTTGGTTCTTAATAGCAGACATTTCTTTTTTTCATTAGTTTTATTTCATAGAGCAGTGTGGACACTCGAATATTTTAAATTGTTGTGGTAACCAAATACCAAGTTTTCCTGTCAACGAAAATGCTTTTAATCATATATTCTTTCTCGGCTTTCTTAACAACTTGAACAAAACATCTATTTCGTACCAGAACTTCATAAGATTCTTTTAAGGTATTTTTATTCTTTCTGTATAAAAGTAGAAAAATAAATAGTGTACAATCCGTGGTACAGGCTCCTTTTTTATCGAATTATTAACATCCGCCTGAAACTTCATAAATAGTTTCATCTCATGGTAACCTACAACTATTTTATTTACGAAAACTTTTGGAATTGGGGCGTTTTCAATCTGGAGGTGGGAGGGACAAACTTTGTCCATTTAATTAGATACAAATGCACATTTGCTTTCTACTTGGATACTAAGATAATTTGATCAAAAAATCGAAAAAAAAGGTAGCCTTCAAAAATATTGAGCCATTTGGCGTGACCTACACCCCTAAAATTTCAAAATAACGAGGTTTTATAGAATAAACGGTTCAATATTTTTGTACGCAGCCTTTTTTATCTATTTTGTAATCAAATTATGTTACGAACTAAGCAGAAAGCCAATGTGTATTTACGAGTTTTTATTACCTAATTAAATAAACAAACTTTGCCCCTCTCCAGATTGAAAACGCCCCAATTCCAAGAGTTTTCTTAAATAAAATAGTTGTAGGTTACTAAGAGATGAAAATGTTTACGAAGTTTTAGGCGGATGTTTATCATTCGATAAAAAGGGGTCTGTATCATGGACTAACATGTTAATAAAATAAAAAAATTACAAAAATAAAGAGATAATAACAGTACCTATATAAAAGAATTAATCAGTAGTACAAAATAATAATGATCAATCACATGCCATTAATAGATAAGCTCGGTATTTTTTTCCGAAGGAAGAACGGTGAAGATAGGATCAAACCGTTTATTTGCGATACAACTAGGCAGGGCGTTCCTCAAGATCCTTACAACAATGGGCAACAATAACAAAGACGTTTGCAAGATGTTTCGCCAATTAGCACAAACACCTGCGGCCATCGCTCAATGAATCAATCCATGATCGACTGGCAACACCTGCCCGGTGTTATCTTGGCGAAATAACGCCTTCGGCAACTGTGAAAAAACTTGGCAGCATTGAAGTTACTGCCCTGCTCAGATCCTAAGATCTGCGAAGTTCTGATGCCACAAGCCAGGAAGCGAAACTCAGCTCGATTTCAGGCTAACGTACGATTGTTGATGGATAGGAACTTTTTATTTATTAAGGTTTTAGAAGAAATCGAGGGTGCGGTGTGTAATTCTATTAAATTACATAATAGAATTTTATATTGAATTGTCCAAAGTCTCGACCTACGTTGTTGGTCTTCTTCAGGGCGTTCCATCAGGCATTGCCGAAAGCTGTGCTGAGACTACAGCTTAAAGTCTGCTAGGGAAACAGAGACAACGCTCCGAAGAAGAATTACAATGTAGGTTCTACAATTCAATAAAAAATACCAATATGTAATATAATATTTTATATATTGACCGCATCCCCAACTAACTTCTTCTGAAATTATAGTCTACGGTCAACCATCTATACACCATTTATTTATTTAGTTAGCTATACTAATACATAAAACTAAAAAGTATGTTCGGGCTTCTTAAAATCAAGAGTTACTCGTCCAATATATTAAAAAAATTAAATAATTGTGCTAGATAGACCATTTAATGAGAAAAGCTTTAGATTTCATGAAATCACACTACAAACTATAGGAATAGAACAGTTACCATAGAATTCAATAAATCTGGAAAGCTTTTCGTAAATTTAGGTTATGGTCACTATAAAAAAGATTCTGGGACAAACTACTACTGAAGTAGCTTAATATATGTGCTAGTGGATGGTGCTGAGACTGTCGGTGTGTCCCTGGCCTGATCGAAGCTATATTTTTTTAAATTCTAGCTTTGAAGAGGATCCCATGGTTGACTAATAAGAGAAAGAGAGAATCACTTTATTATCTTAAAAGGGTGCTGCCCAATTACATTGGGTTGCTTTAAACACAGCATACTTATTAATCGCTACAGACAATTTTCTAAAAACTAATATACAATTATATAGTATTAACAACATATATGAGCATAATATACAATTTTTTTTTTTTTTTTTTATCTATATATATATTTTTTTTATCATAATTTTTTTCCTATATTTTTATTTATTTATTTATTTTTTATTTATTTATTTTATTTTTACCATTTCTTTAATTCATTTATTAGCACTATACATCCCTTTCTGTTCCTTCTCTCACTCTATACATTTTTCTCGTTCCCTAGATTTTCTCCTCTCTTTTCCTAACCTAATTCATAACATGCATACAAATACATAAAGTGCAGTGGACGTGGTCAATAAATAATGTAAAAATGCTGTAAAACACGCATGCCTCCCCCCATGAACAAACTCTCTATCCATGCACATGGTGATGGATAATTCCCAGGGAGTCAAGGATTATGTTCTCTGCCAACCTTGCCACGTCCCTTTATGTCGACACCAAGGCCCTCCATGAAGCTCCTTGTTGAGTCTGGTATCGTTCCGCGAGCTCCGAACCAAAGGCCTCTCACGTGGAACTCTCTCAGCCCGAAACTCTCGCGGAACTTTTCACTAAGGAACGGGATGCATTTCTCATATGTCTGTTTTTTCTCCCTTTCCACTTTTCCTGCCTGATCGAGGTCGTTGGTCTCATATCTCACGGTCGGATCCAAAATCATCGCCGACTTTCACGTCTTAGGGAATGCTACTATGTCGGCATATCGGGTGGATCCATCCGTATCTATACAATATACTTCCTCGAAACAGGCGTAATCTTTCTCTATAAGGAGCCTCATCAGTTCATGTTTGACTCGGTGGTGACGGCGCGTTATAAGGAGGGAGTTGTTGGGGCATTTTCCAAGCACATGTGCTGGTGTTTCTGGCTCTCTGTCGCATTTGCGACAGAGGGACCCAACTTCTCTTACCTGTCCGCTGACACCTGGGACTCCACGCAGGGGTGCATAATTAATATTCAGTTTCAGGGCATTTGACCATTCAGACCCAGAAAGTACTTGCTTATCATACATGTATTTGTTGGCTTTCGGGGTCTCTTTAAAATGGCGAACTCCAATGCCCTGCCACCTGTAATTGGTCTATTCCTCAAAGGAATTTTCTCGAAGCGACTGCCGTAGAGCTCTCATATTCCGAATACCCCGATCAATCCCCAATCTCTCGGCACATTCATCAACCTCAGCCGAATAATCAAAGATCGACTGAAAAAGGGCATCGGGCACATTGGAAAGTCGCTGAGCAATGGACCAATGTTGTAGAGGAGCCTCCCATTGGCAGCGGATTAATCCTAATCCTCGATACCTCCTGGGAGCGTACAACATCGCCGTGGAGGTGTTCGCAGGGAGTCCAACAATAGCCTTCACACTCCTGCGAATAATGGTGTCGATGCCGTCAAGTATGGCAGGACGCAGCTTTGTGAGGGGCGCAGTTTGGAGAGGGTAAGTAAGACCCGGGAACAGATATTGGTTGACAATGTTTAGCTTCTGCTCCGGCTTCAGCAAGGGAGAGGTAACCAGTTTATTCAGATTTTCGTTCAATTTGGTCACCGAATCTTCGTTGAACTGTAGCTCTCCCGAGAATGTACATCCTAAATACTTGATTGTATCTCCATTCTGCAATGCTTGGATGTACTCTCCGTTCTCAAGGGAGAGCATCGCTGTTTCCAGCTCTCCTTTATTTAGAACGATGCCCACGCTTTTTTGAGGATTAATAGCCAAACCAATTTCCTCAAAAGTCCTCTGAACGCTGCCAATCACTCTTTCTGCAGCCCCCTTGTCACGCGCTGACACGGCCTGGTCATCCGCGAAACCTGTGAGGACCACACAATCTTGGTCACTTTTTAACTTGTATCCAAATTTTTTGGAAAATTCTTCATCGCACAGGTCGCGATAGAGATGATCAATGGCCAGGTTGAAGAGCGACGACGACAAGGGGCCGCCTTGGGGTACCCCGCGCAGCACTTTGATTTGGCTAGTTGCGTGAACACCGTTACTAATTTTGATTGTGTTGGTGCAGAGGAGAGCCGATATAACACGTTTAAGATCCGGTGACACACCTCTTGCTTCTAAAATACCGGGATCGAAACGTCAATAAACAGAAGAAATGAACATTTAATAGTCTATTAAATAATAATTAAGTGACCTTATTCCCAATTAAATAGTTAAGTTTAAATTTATTACTCAAAGGTCGATTAAGGAAAAGTTGTAATTTTTATAAATATATTTTTTTAATTTATATTATATAATTTTTATCATTTTTTTTCAATATATAAATATTTATCATTTTTTATATAAATATATATATATAAATATATATATATATATATATATATATATATATATATATATATATATCTCCACACGTAGACTCCTAGTAACTTCCCTCATCTTCCCCCACCTTGATTACGGCTGCGTGGTGTACGGTGGCCTCTCGGCAGAACTCGGGGAGAGACTGAAAAGAATTATGAATGCCTTCGTAAGATTTGTCACAGGGGCCCTGAGGTATTACCGTGTTTCGCACCACTATGCTGAATTAGGATGGCTCTTCCCTTCCTTCCGAAGACAATATTTCCTGGGCACATTCCTTTACCAATTAATCAATAGTCATCGTCCGTCCTACGGATACAATCTCCTACAATTCAAATCATCTATCCACACCCTCTCCACAAGATCTCGTCCTTCTGACCTTTACACTCCTTTCCACAGATCTGCATCATTTAAACATTCCTTCGTTGTCCGTTCCACCGCATTCTGGAATTCCATCCCACTAAAAATCCGCCATGCATCATCCTTAGCCACCTTTAAAACCCTCTTATTCCAATTCCTCTTCACAATCCAATCAGATGCTGGTTAAATACATACTATGTTATAAGGATTTAATTTTCTTTAGACATTATTTTTTTCTCCTATTTTTTATTGTTTTATTCTGTGTTGAACGTGAATTTTCATCACCACTCACTAAGCATTGTGAGTAGATAAAATTTGTTTTCCTTAAGTTCTAATTTGTTATTCATGGAATGTATTTCAGTGAAATGTATTTTATTTCTAATTATCTTCAACATACTTCTCGCTATGTGTATATATATACTTTATTTTATTTTCTCTTCTCCTAATCTTTACGCATAATCACTTAAATATCTTAGGGAACATATGTATATCATTATTTGTTTTTTTATATATTTTTTTGTTTTAGTTTTTACAATTTCTTTCCCTACATATTAACAGTTATTATTATTTTTTTTAAATTTTTATATTCCATCACTACAATGATTTACCTATAAAATAGATTGTACTTTCCTTTATAATTTCATCCAGTGATTATTATGCAATTATTTTAGCTCCAATATTGTAGTACTGAATCCCTATTACCAAACTGTCCTCGTTAATTAATACTTAATGTATTACATGTATTTTGTCATTATTCATTGTAATAAGTCTTTTGACCAGATTTGTAGTTAATATATATGTACAATACTGTTATTCTAAAGGGACCTAGTCCCAGAATAAAGATGATTTTTCTATTTCTATTTCTATATATATATATATTTTTTTTTTTTTATAAATATCTTTTTTTAATTTATATTATATAATTTTTATTCAAAAATGCATTTACTACTCCTATGAAAACAAAAACAATATGGAAAAAAGCATACAAACATGGAAACAAAAAGAAACAAATGACAAATGGGAAGTTAAACACAAAAAAGCAAAGGGCTGGTAACACAATGCACGCTTTTTTTTCTGGCACCTGGGGCTCACCCACCGCTGATTATAAAAACAAACAGATTAAGACAGGTGCGAGCAGGTAAATATAACAAAGCGATTAGTGGGTCATTAATTCCACGGGGAAAAAAAAGGCATAATTAAACCCACCGGTGGGGAGTCTTTGTAATTATTTTTGTTTTGATTACAGCTGGGTGTTATTTATTGCAGGTTTTGAACCATATGTTGAGTTCCTACTATCTCTGTATGATTTCAAGAATCATTTTTATTTTTACTTGGTATATTATCGACGATTTAAAAAAAATAAATATGACATTTCTTGAATAAATTGTTTTGGTACCTTTTTATAAAAAATAAATAATATCGAAAAACATACTTTTAGGTCTTGGCCCACTATTAGGAAAATATCTCAAATCCATCTTATTCAAAATTCAAATTCGAGAATCAATTCGTCATTCATGAAATAAGTCTAAAATTAACTCAGTCGATAGATGGAAATTATTATATATTTTCCTTGTGTACTCACAACCCAACCACAAAATGAAAAGACGTAATCGATAAGCTATTATTTTTATTTATTTTATTTTATTTTCCTCCCTACCCTGCCTTTAAGACAATACGGGAGTTTGCAGCAGTGACTTGATACACATTGTATAACAAATCACTGTTGCATGTTTATCTATTTACATTTTTAAAATGCTGTGCACACAGCCTGCTTGATAATTTTGTCACTTAGTTATTGTTCTCCATCTTCTTCTCCTGTCCTAATTAGCGGCCTTCCAGGTACTGCTTCTTCACGCCTTCCCAGGGAGAAGTGGGTTGGGCCCACAGTTTTTTTCCAGCCGCATACGAAACTTTTAAAGTGCGGGTAGTTTTGTTCAGACATTAGTTGGGGTAATTGTCCTTCTGTAAGAACGAAAAGCCCTGTATCCCTCATTAATTTGGCCCTCAGTGCCTCATAGCTGGTGCAGGCTACAAGGATGTGCTCAGCGGTTTCAGGTACTCCACAAGTGGGGCATAAGGGGTCGATATTTTTACCGTGTTTAAAAAGTTTTGCTCTGAAACCCCCATGCCCCGTGAGGATCTGTGAGACCCAGTAGTCCGGGAGGACCCATTTCTTTTCTAAGCGCGATTTAATGGTGGGAAAGAATTTTCTTAGTGTGGACCCGTTTGGGGTTGTCACCCATCGCCGATTCCATTGTTCCAATGTATCCTCCCGGAGGATCATCTTCCATCTTCTGGGGTCATCACAAATCCTCTCCCGAATGTTTGCTGGTAAATCCGCCAAGTCATCCCTCTTAATGTTGTACCGATAAAGGTCTTCCCGCAGAAGGAGGTCGAGAGGAATACCTCCTCCTAAGACCTGCACCGCCTCATGGGACACAGTTCTGTATGACCTGGTTACTCTAAGCAGGGCCATCCGCTGGATTGTTGCCAACTTGCGCTTCTGACGGTACGAGAGATTCCGGTTCCATGCGGGGGACGCGTATCTCAGGATACCAACAACTACTCCTTTATAAATGGACATAGTTGCTGGATATCTAAGGCCCCAAAAGGCCCCCCCTATGCGACTGAGACCATTAAGGGCTAAGGTTATCCTATTCCTTAAGTAATCCAAGTGAGGCGTCACGTTGAATTTTTTCCCAATCCTAATTCCAAGATAGGTGACTACCTCACTTGGACATATTCTGGAACCTTGTATCACCAAGGTTATGGGGTGTGCCCTATCGGTCGAACCTCTCAAGAGGATGGCCTGAGTCTTGGAACCCGCCATCCTTAACTTCTTTTTCTCGCACCATTCTTCTACAAGGTTGGCACAACGTTCAGCTTCATATTTTAATCTGGCCCTGCTATTCGAGGCCACTACAACAGCCAGGTCATCTACATATGCAGTGGCGGGGAACCGCTCCTGTTCTAGCACTCCCAGCAACTCGTCAAAGACCAGTTTCCATAGGGCAGGGCCAAGGACAGAGCCCTGTGGACAGCCCCTTTCCACTGTATCTTCTACTTCATAGAAGCTACCTTTAATCTTCAATGTCCTATCGTGGAGATAGCTTCTGATCAAGCCATACAAGTTGCTGGGGGCTTCATGCCTTTGCAACTGCTGGAGTACGCTCGGCCACCAGACGCTATCGAAGGCGGATGATATGTCAAACAGGAGGAGCATAACATACTTCTCCGCCTTCTCTTCAACATCACAGCGCACTCTCAGCAGGGCATCTGCGGTTCCCCTGCCTTTAGAGGATCCGTACTGCCGTGGATGGCTCGCTCTCGAGAAGACTGGCCGTAGGCTGGTGAGTATCAGGTTTTCTAACACCTTGCTCATGACTGGGAGGAGACATATAGGTCTATAAGATTTGGCTAATTGCTTATCTTTGTCTCCTCCTTTGTAAATGAGCTTGACGTTAGCGATTTTCCAATCTTTCCTCTATATAGGGAATACTGTTCTTGAAAATTGACGCGTCAATGGTGTCTAAACCGGGGGCACGACCAATCTTTTGCTTGTCCACGGCAGTGCGAAGATCCCATATGTCCCATGGTGGGCACAGGTCCGTGCCGGGAGGGTATACCGTAGTGCGTCTTACGAACTCCTCCTCTTCATTATCTTGAGATGGATCATCCCTGGGGTAAGTCTCTGTAATAAACATCTTCGCCGATTCTTCTGGAGTTTTTGCCTGAGTACCGTCATACTTTATCGCTGCGATTACTTGCATTGGAGTCAATTTACCCAAGGCTACTTTGTACGGGATACCCCAGGGGTTTTTAGATGATTCCTCAACGATGAATTCATCCCAAGACCTACGTTTATGTAGACGCACCTCGTTTCGGTATACCCTGGCTTTAGACCTGTACTCGTCACGAAGAGTAGTGCGCCTCTCATCGCAACTACACCGCTGGTACGAACGCCGGGCCTTGTAGAGCTCTCTCTTCATGGTGGTTAAAGCCGCCATGAAGACGTAATCGATAAGCTGTGGAGAAATGCAAAAACGGCTGTCCATAAGATTTATTGGATTATAGTTTTAGGAAATCCCTCATCCATCTTCTTTTGAACCTCCGAAGTGTCTTTTCGTACATGTTAATCGTGGTCATGACTTGTATCAGTGTGTTAGTACGTCCATGTAAGTTATTGTGAAATTTTTTGTAGTGTGTCCGTATGTGGTCGTTAACTGTTGGCAGGCCTAGATCTTTATGCAAAGTGATGTGCCATGGAGTTTTAGTTATAGTCCTAAAAATTTTTGACTGAAAGGTTTGTAGTTTCCGTATGTGGGTCGTTTTGGCTGAACCGTATATTTGTGAAGCGTAAGTCCATATAGGCTTTAGTAAATAAATGTAGGTGTTCAGTTTCTGTTTTAATTTTAATTTGGAGTGTTTTAAAAGAAGTGAGTATAATAGTCGTAATCTGAGGTTTAACATTTTTCTTTTTTTGTTGATATGTGGCCCTCACGTCATTCTTCACTTGAATGTCAAAATAAATAAAAGCAAAATAACAATAAATAGTAATCAAAAAGTATTTACAATAAATAAAATAAAATAACCTAAAAATAAGAAAATTAAAACTAAGCAAAAACACATGCATACATATATACACTATTTAGGATCAGGCGTGGGAACTCCAGAAGAAACATGCGCTAGTCTTTCCACCGCCTCACTGGTACTAAAGCCAGCGGAGATTGATCTAAAGCACTTTGAGTCAAAATTAAAAATAAATTTAAGTATTTCAACACATTATACATCTATATTACTGCTTATATGTCCGGAAATTCGTTATCAAATTAAAAAAAAAAAAAATCGTAAATGAATATTGTGTTATACACCACATCAGATTTTTAAAACTTTTATTAAATCAATTGAATTGATGAAATACTGACTTGTGCCATATATAACTTATGACAGCAGCAGGAATAATTATAAACTCAAGACAAAGTACTAGTACAAATAAGTTTTGCAGTTGTCAAATGGGAAGGAATAGATCTTGAGACACTATGTGATGGACCTGCCAACCGTTTGAATTTATATAATACATTAGGAGGGAGTGAACTGAGTGGATGGCTGGGATATGGCGTGTTTTCTGATTTATAGCGCGTGTCATTTGTCTGGTTTAAGTGGAGAGGCATAAGGCTCAGGTTAAGAGACACCCCTACCTCTTCAATAATGAAAGGCATTTGTCTCAGAGGTTTTCCTCATCCATCTCGGGGCATCTTTCTCCCCGGAGGACATCATTCACCCGGGATTATCCTCAAGGAGCCCGGAACTAGGCCCGATCTTCGGGGATCACCTATCTCAGAGGATCAGCGGCGTCATGGAGGGGCGGAGAAAAACTGGCGAAGTGTTACACACGGTACTTCGCTCGAGTACTGAATTTGTTTCACTAATTGCCGTTCGATATCAATGGATTTAAAAACAATTACTGATTAAAATATAATATTTTATAAAAAATTTTATTTATTTTCAGCCAATTTTACACCACTTTTTAATTTTGTCAACTTAATGATTATACATCTGAATTATACATCTCGTCGAGCCAAATTCAAGTCTAAGTACCCATCATGTACCTGTCCTTTTCACTTATGCGAATCGCATTCGTCTACTCATAATAAAATTTTTTATTCTCGTCATGTCCTTATCATGTGTCACCCACATGTCATCAGTCTCATTTCTATTCAGTCACTGATGACATGTGGTTGACATATGTTAAGGTGGACATGACAAGAATAAAATTTTTTATTATGAGCAGACGCTTGCAATTCGCATAAGTGAAAAGGGCAGGTACATGATGAGCCGAAACGTCGTAATTGAGATGTATAATCATCAAGTTGACAAAATTAAAAATTGGTGTAAAATTGTCTGATAATAAATAAACTTGAAAATAAACAGTATGCACCGAAGAAGAAGTGGGAGGTATTGTAATGAATAAAATAAAATAGAATATTTAATAGTAAACCGTTGTATTATAAAGGAAGGAGATGGTCCGTGGGTGGCGGTCATAAATAGTCTAAATAGTGGTAAAACTATTTTATTAAAAGCCGACGATTCGACCCGACTTTTCAGGTCTTCTTCAGGGAGGTGTTCAGCTAGGAGTTTCGCTTGGAACGGGAACTCCTGAAACTTCAGTTCTAAGTGAAACTCCTAGCTGAACACACCTCCCTGAAGAAGACCTGCAAAGTCGGGTCGAAACGTCGGTTTTTAATAAAATAGATTTACCACTATTTAGCCTATTTATGACCGCCACCCCGGACCATCTCCTGCCTTTAATAAAATATTAGATTTCTGATTTGTGAATTTCAATATTTTTAGTGAAATTTCAACTTCACGGACAAAACAATAGATTTATAAACGGAATGGCCACAACTAACATGCCTATAAGGAGACGACTGAAAATTCTCATTTTCTTAATTAAAGGAGCAAATAAATACCAGGAAGAGGTGCTGCTGAGTACCTCATATCCTTCCTCATATCTATAATGTCATTTTTCCATATTCATCACGACATGGATATTTGTTACACGACATAAACTGCTAATTGTTAAATTCATGTCAGGTGCAGAAAAAAAATTGAATAAATATTTAAACAGCTTCTGCCTCTTTAATGTGGGAAGAGAAGCTAACCCTGAAATAAAATTTATTTTTTTACTTAACTCCTTCGCTCTTGATGAGAGCGATATTTACAACATAAAATGTTGAAAACTTGTTATATTAATATTATAACAGACTGATGGAGATTCTTCTTTATATTATGAGGCTCCAAAGTATAGCATTACCGATTTTCTAACTAATGAGTGCCTGCTTATTAGTTTGCTGTTATCGGATCCTCAATAACCTTCTTTTCTACCCCCACCAATTATTTTAGACATGTATATCTAGTACTATAGAGGAAATATGTGGACAGTTTAAAGATAGTAGGTCAAAACAGACACGACGAAATCCTAATAAAGGAATCGCGTACCGAGATACGGCTGATTTTATCACGATTCATAAAATACTCGATTTACAAATGTGGAACTCTTCGGTATTATAGTATTCGCTGATGAACTAAAATCGTGGATATCAAATGTTTAAGGATTACGGTATTTCCGAAAATGGCTTCTCCCGGAGATTTTCTTCTTCAAGTTCAACAAGTGCAGATGATATGAGAAAATTATATATTTTTATCTCAATTATATCAAATCATAGAGAATTGATGGGGTAATCTTGAATATTGTCCTCCGTACATTATGGCGAAAATTCCATATTGTACATCGGCATGTTATCAAGCCGGCTATTTTTTCTTGTTTGTTCTCTTAGGTATAGTGGTAATTTTTTTAATTTAATTTTAAAATATAGTTTTATATTAATATTTTTTAAAATGTGTTGTTATTGTGTTATGTGTATTTATTCATGTATATTGTTGACAATTTTAGATTTTATATTAATTTGATAATTGAAACCACTTTAATTGTCTGACCTTTACCGAATATGATTTTTAATTTATGCTTAAGAATGTAGTAATGTCTGTTATGTAGTATAAATAGGAATTTGTATTTCCATAAGGATAATAATGTTTGTTATTTTATGGTAGACTCCATTTGTATATGGTTCTTCCCTCAAAACAAATAAAGATTGATTGATTTATTGGATATTAAAATAATAAGTAGGAGAGACGACAAAAGAGAAGGTTAAGAACTAGTGAAATATTTCAAGCATCTTGGTGTCAACGATGAAGATCGACGGAGAAATAAAATAAATAATAATGAATTCGAACAGAGGATGCTTCAAGACATCAAGAGTGAAAGTTAATTTTCCTAAACATGATATGAGTGAATAAAGACACAAAAAAAAACAACCTTTTTTCAATATAGATTTCTCCTTCAACTGACCAACTCTTCATTCACTAACAGAATTCTTCATTTCAGAATACTCAATTTTAAATTCACAGTTTTCTCAATTTCACTTCTCTCAAGCATGAACTTTCACGCCTTGAGCACTTTATTGCTATTTTAACAGTAAACAGGTCGTGCATACGGGATCCGCGGTGTGTGGTTTAATCTCCGAGAACACAAATCCATCAGGTACGGAGTATCTTATTTGTAAATATTGAGAGAAAGGGAAGTAAGAGGTGTGGATTACATTTAATGTTGCCTCTTCCCTACTGCGTTTTGAACTTTATTTATTGCATAATTATTTTGTATTTTTTGGGGGATTTCCATGTATTGCATTTCAATATCGCTGCATAGATTTTATCAAAATATAAGTAGAATCGTAACCGATAGCCTCAAAAATCTCTTAATAAATAGTTAAAAAATAAAGTGTAGTGGCTCAGTGCCTAAGGCCCTGTGTTGATATGTTCTAGGTCCCGAGTGCGATCCCGTCAATAGCAGATAATTTTTATTCTGTAAGGGCCGTGGGTCGGCTTTGAGGTCATGGGAATCTCTTTGGGCACACTCAGCCTCTATAAAGTGGGTACTCTTAATTAAAATTACTTCTTACTTCTTACGCCTACAATCTTCTCCAATTCAAGTCCTCAGTCCATTACCTTTCAACAAGATCTGGACCTTCTGACCTGTACATCCCTTGTCACAGATCTGTCTCATTCCAAAACTCCTTTATTGCTAGCGCCGTCAAGTTCTGGAATTCCCTACCTATCAAAATTCGGCATTCCTCCTCCATACACACATTCAAAACACTCCTATCCAATTCCTATCCCCAAAACAGTCAAATCCTTAATAAGCTTTTGATATTATACAGTTTTATTATATCATTCATCGACAAATGATAGTACTATTCCGTACTGTAAAAATTACTAGGGATTTTACAATTTCTTCCTACTCTCAATGCAAGTGAATTCATCTATTTTTTTTTTGGTTATTTTTTATTCTTATACAAATAAATTGGTACCTATAGTTACAATAAGATAATGACGTGTTTCGATATTATTCATTATTTAAATACTCTGACATTTTATATTGTCAGATTCGTCTTTCCTTTGTTAGCAGAAACACAGCTTATTTTAATGAAGAACTACATGTATTTTTTATTATTTTATTTCTCAAAAGTGTACAATTATAATTTTTCCTACTGTACATAGTTTTAAGTATTTTGTATATAGATTTTTTTTTGTGTATAGATTGTTTAACTAATATTTTCTTTATTTTCTTTTTGTATTATTGTTTTAATTTGACCAGATGTAATCTTTTCATTATGTACTATTTTGTTATTCTAAAGGGACTTTTTCCTAGAATAAAGTTTTTTTTTTTTCTAAAATAATTTATTTAGGGGGAAAATCTAGCGATTGAGGTTCCCGTCTACCCAACAGTACGTACTTTATTACAAAGTAATGAACTCAATTATAATTATATTATATTATAATATCCTTCTTCGAAGTAGTACAGGTTTGTATTTATTTTTTAATAATAAAATCATGTGTTCGACAAACCTATCTGTCGTTACTTTATCTTTTATTTACCGTACCTTCATTTTTCATCACAATTTTTAACTCTTTATCAAATCAAACATTTCTTTTAGAATTAACGATTTTCGTATACGAACCAGGTTTCCGAATTTTAAAAGGTTTACAATATAACATTTTCATTTATTTTGCATTACATAAGAAATTCATAAAATTTTGGTTTTTCTTAAACGATAACATCCACGGATTCTCTAGGAATTGTAAAATAGTGAAGCATATTTTTATCCTTATGTAACATGCTAAAAAGATTTAGTAAAATATTACATTATCATATAGGTAGATACGTTGTTCAGTTCAAAATATAATAGATCTCATTGCTGGACATTGGTAGGTTTATTCTATCACTGGCCACCTCACTCCTAATATACCTGCTCACTCTGGGAATTGTTCTATTATAAGATGTATTGGTCACTGACCGTACCTCCAAGTTTACTTAGATGTTAGCTCATTGTCCTTAATATCATGACTTGTCAAGCACATTTCTTAGTACTGCTAATGCCAACAGAGCTGGTACTGGCTGGTGAATGCGCCTAATAGGCTAATAGGCTGGTGAATGCGAATAACCCGCAAACTGAGCCTTACGGTCAAAATTGAGAATTTTTTTTTTGGTGATTTTCATAAATAAATTATGACTGACCCAGGCGGAAATCGAACCCGCAACATTCAAACCTGATGTGGTGACGAACATATACCATGTCCTCAATCTTTTTTTTTAAATCACGATTCATTAAATAAGCGATTTACAAATGTGGAACTCTTCTGCATTTTAGTATTCGCTGATGAACTAAATTCGTGGATATCAAACCTGTGAAAATTAAAGGATTATGGTATTTCTAAAAACTGCATCTCACGGAGATTTTATTCTTGTATGAAAAATTATAGACTTTGAAATATAGATATGGTTTAGCCAATGAAAA